CCCCAAAACCCCAAAACCCCAAAACCCCATTGTTAAGAATCTGATGGTAAAAAGGGATTATATAGAAAGATAATTAATGTGAATATAATCCAAAATATGATTGTGATAAGATTCTGGGAAGCTTTGAACCCCCTTGAAATAAAATCTTAGCTTGATATAGATTCTTACTTTTAATATAAATACCTATATTCCTCATTTTACAAGCTTTCTAATAAGTAGAGCTATTATTGCCATTAAAAGAAGAACAATTGTTATGTGAATTGCAATCCTGTAAATGTACTCTCTTCTAGTCATTGATACAACAATCTTATCTCCAGCTACTAGATCTTGTCTAATTTGCTGATTCTTTTCGTCTACATTAATAAGAATATCTCTCTAATCTCTTAGATCTTTATTCGCTACTCTCAGAATTTAAGCTGTTTCAGTCCCCATCTTTTTTGTATTCTCAAGTTAAGCTTCTTGAGTGTATAGTTCTCCGACTCCATTCAACAGCCTTTATCTAATTTCTTCTTCTCTTTGATCCTAAAATTAATTCGTTTAAACTTATCTTTGATTCGTACATAATCTGATTTTTTGTTAGCCAATATGTTTTTATTCTGTTAAGACCCTGTTTACGACTCTATTTTCTTATACTTCAATCTCGATTACTCATACTCAGACCTTAGATTTGTCATCTACGATTATTTTGTTTATTTCCGAAATTTATCATACCTTTGACTTATAAGCTCCCTTATTTGATGAGCTCAGATTTTCCCATTATGTTTCTAATTGTATCAACTATAAATTAGAAAATTGTATATATAAAGAAATACTAATTTTTCTGCCTTGCCAACCATCATTCTAAGCTCTGCCAATGATTGTACCTTTTTATCTAAATCATGCGCAATTAAAAACACAATTCAATAACATATGTAATCTAAAGAATGAAAAACTAATACCTATATTTTTTTCTTCTTCAATTGCATCAAACATATCAGAGAGTTCATTCGATGTTGACTTTAGCTCTCTCTTAGTTTACTTAAACTCGTCCAAATTTATTGACATTATAGATTTATATAATAAATAAATCAATAAATTAATATATATCCAGACTTTTTTTATTAAATTTTAATTTTAAAGTATGGGGTTTTGGGGTTTTGGGG